ACTTTGGCCCCTTCGTGACTCGTGGACTTCAACTCCCAGAATTCCTGAGCCAGCATGAGGGAAACTTTGGCCCCTTCGTGACTCGTGGACTTCAACTCCCAGAATTCCTGAGCCAGCATGAGGGAAACTTTGGCCCCTTCGTGACTCGTGGACTTCAACTCCCAGAATTCCTGAGCCAGCGTTGAAGTCCCAGGAGTCATAAAAGAGCCAAGGTTGCCTACCCCTGCACTAGACCAAACTGGCTTTTTTATTATGCCCGATCGCAAACATTACATAAGGAAATTTCACCAAGTATATCCGACATTCCTCGTCCTTTCCTCTGCTTTGAATGAGGGGAGTGGGTTTCACAAAACGGGGACCTCAAGACACACCAACGCCTCAGCGGGAAGGCAAACCTCTGAAATCTCCCCGCCGCCCGGCTCTCACCTTTCCAGCCACGTTTTAACGGAAGATGGTAAAAAATTCATTTTTGTTTTTAATGTTCGCCACATGAAAACACGAGGGGGGGGGGGTTGTGTATGAAATCCAGCTAGGCCTTGCTCCCCCCCTCCCTTTCTCTCCCCCCCTCCCCAGTTCTCTCCCCATTGAATGTCCAGCAGGATAGAAACAATCATCCAAGTCACATCGGGAACCACTTGACCAAAAAAAACCAAACCCGACAAAAAAAAAAAAGGCAAGAAAAACGGACACAGCGACAAAAAAGTCAAAGTACAGGAAGGCGAACGCAATAATAATAATAACAATAATAAAAAAAACAGGTCCCAAAAGTTGGGGTTTTTTTTGTGTGTGTGTGTTTTAAAGTCCTCTTGTGAGCCAAAGGGCAGCAGTTTGTCCTTTTCAATTATTTTTTTTTTTCCTCAAGAAGACAGCAGTCACTCAGAGCTATCCGAAAGATTCCGCTTCGGGCCGGTTCCGGAAATTTTACGCTCGGAAGGCCAAAATCAGGAGCACCCAGACCCTCCTCGGTTGCATTCTGTAGGATTGGGGGGGGGCAGTCTCTTCCTGCCAGACGACCCCCCCCCCAAAAGAAGAGGTATTAATTGCATTTGTTGGAATTTACTGGAAGAAAAAACCAGACGATAGACGGTTGATAACCTCACTTCCCAGTGGACCAAACGGAGGCCAGGCTGAGCTGAAAACTGGAATGGAGGCAGATGAGAGGAATGAAGAAGGAGGGGAGAAGACGGGGAAACACCCCCCCTCTCTCTCTTTTTTTTTTAAACCCAGCCAATCTTTCAAGGCAAGCTGGGCGCTTGGCAGTTTCCAACGGCAGTCGTGGTCTGGGGAGGGAAAGAGGGAGGAACGCAGGACGGACGGGTGAAGACGTAAAATGGGTGGGTGGGCGCCTCTGTGTCCAGCCACTGCAGTCCCAACTGTGTGCCCAGCAAGTCCAGGGTCAGGACTGAAGACCCTCCCCAGCATGAGGTCGCGGGGGGGGGGTTCTTAAAAAACAGACAGGCTGCTCTCTCTCCTCTTGGACACCCCCCCCCCAGAATTCTCCAGCTCCATTACTGCCCGGCTGGTTCAAGGGACGAGATTCAGTGCCCCCTCCTCAGCCAAGGGTGTAGTATAAACCGGATTTGCCGTCCCTTTTGGCCACCAGGGCGAGGACGGCAAGGGAGGGGCAGGGCTCAGCCGTCGTTGGCGGCCACCAGCTGCCCCATGCTCTCCCGGATGTAGACCGACTGGATCTCCTTGGTCTTCAGGCAGAAGTCGCAGGCCCAAACGGCCGAGGCCTCGGTGGTCAGCAGCCCGTAGGCGTTCTCCGTCATGCCCGTGCACTCCCGGTGGAACCACTTCTGACACGAAGCCTCGCACAGGATGGCGTCTTGGTCGTCGTTCACTTCGCTACGACAAGCCCCGCAGGGGTAGACCAGGCCGGGCGGGGGCTGGTGCCCGGAGTTGCCAGCTGCCTTGCTGGAGGGAGGTAAGGGGTTGCCTTCCGAGGTGCCGGTGGGGCCGCTGTGACCGGTGTTGTTGGGTGGGAAGGCGGGCTGGGTGCCGTTGACGGCCGCCGGCGAGCCGGTGTGCTGTTCCTGGTTGAAGCTGTTGGGAGGCGGGTGGAGGGGGGGCTTGCCGGCCCCGCTGTCTTCGGCAGAGGGGGGGAAGCCGGGATCGGGCCCCGGGAAGGGGCTGGGGTTGGGGGGCAGGCTGGCAAGATTGGGGTTGGGTCGCTGCAGGGGGGACTGTCCAAAGAGGTTGGCGGGCTGGCTGAATCGCTGGGCCATGGGCGGCCCCCCTGGAGGGTTGAGGGCTGGCCCAGAGCCCATGTCTCCTCCGCGTGGGGGCTGCCCCATGGTTGGTGACATCATGGGGCCGAAGCCCCCCATGGGGCCCTGCATGAGCTGTCCACTGGGGGGGCTGAAGTTCTGTCCCAGTGGCTGGCCGAACGGCTGCCCGGCAAAGCCCATCCCGCCGGGTTGCACGTAGCCGGGATTCTGGGGGGGCATGTTGAACGCCGGGCCCATCTGGTTCGGTCCAAAGGGGGGCGGCTGCCTCCGCATGGGCTGGGGCCCCCCACCATAGCTGGGTGGGACCTGGGGGCCCATCGCTCCTTGCATGCGGAAGTTCCCGAAGGGGCCGGGGTTGCCGAGGAAGGGCGCGGAGGAAGAGCCAACCTTGGGGATGGCAAAGTCATCTTCAAAGGGGTTGGAGGCCACCAGGTGATCCACCATCGGGGTGGGAGGGGGGGCAAACTCCGAGAGGTGGGAATAGGAGGGGCCCTGCAAGAAGAAAAAGCCGAGTAAACAGACCAGCATTCCTTCTCAGTTGGTTATCTGCCAGAGAGGTTGCCTTGCAATCAAAATCTCCAGCAGGGGGCGCTGGAGGCCAATATATCTGGAAGGGACCAAGTGTGTTGTTTGTGAATGTGTGTGTGTGTGTGGGGGGGGAGAACAGTTGAGGAGGGTCCAAACAAACTATAATCAGGATGCCTGATTAAAACTAACTTATGTGGTTCTCATATAGGAAGTTCTCGACTTTCAAGCGCAACTGAGACAAGATTTCCAGCTGTATGTTTTACAGTCGTAAGTCGAGGCACCCCGTGACCAGACCCGACCTCATGACATTTTTTGCGGTGGTCATTAAGCAAATCTGCACTCAACAGTTGTAAGTGCAAGTGCATTCTTCTAAATGGCCATTAGAAAAAAAAGCGGTTGCTGGAATTGGGTATGTCTAGTTTAACGAAGAGAAGGACGAGGGGGGACATGATAGCAGCGTTCCAATATCTCAGGGGCTGCCCCAAAGAAGAAGGAGTCAAGCTATTCTCCAGAGCCCCTGAAGGCAGGACAAGAAGCAACAGATGGAAACTAACCAAAGAGAGAAGCAACCTAGAACTAAGGAGAAACTTCCTGACAGTTAGAACAATTAACCAGTGGAACAACCTGCCTCCAGAAGCAGTGAATGCTCCAGCACTGGAAGTTTTTAAGAAGAAACTGGACGGCCATTTGTCTGAAATGGTATATAGGGTTTCCTGCCTGAGCAGGAGGTTGGACTAGATGACCTCCAAGGTCCCTTCCAACTTTATCATTATTATTATTATAATAATGGTAGGGCTATGGAAGAACGAACCCAGCCAAAGGTTGGACAGCCATTTGTCTGAAATGGTATAGGGTTTCCTGCCTGAGCAGGGGGTTGGACTAGATGACCTCCAAGATACCTTCCAAGTTTTTTTATTAATTAATTAATTATTATTATTAGGCTGTCCTGCACCCAGGGCACCTGAAACATCCCCTGCCCAAAATTACCTGCGTGTTGGACTTGCGACGTTTCTTCTCCGGACTCTTCATTTGAAGACCTGATCAAAGGCAGAAAAAGAGAAATTTAGAATAGAACAGAATTCTTTATTTGTCCAAGTGTCTATGGAGATTTTCACGACATAGTTGTGTCAAAAGTGCTTTTTCAAAAGGCATCAAGACCGTTTTTTCCTTTTTTTATTTAGACAAGTGTGATTAGATGATCACACTCATAGGCAGGAATCTGTCTTCCGCACAGAAGCTCTCAGTGTACGTGCAAAGCAACAGAATAATAATAGTAATAATAGTAATAATACCAATAAGAGGCGGTAATAGAGAAGATGAGAAGGATAATAATTGTGTGTCTATTTTCTTTCTTCATCTGTCTTTCTCCCTTCCCTCTCCTTCCTTTCTCATCTTCTCCGTTTTTCTTTCTTTTTTCTTTCTTCTTTTCACCCACTCATCTTCTCTTCTCCTTCCTTCCTTCCCTCCCTCCCTTTTCTTGCTTTCTCATGTTCTCCTTTCTTTCCTTCTTTTCACCCACTTCTCATCTTCTCTTCTTCCTTTCCTTTCCTTCCCTTCCCTTCCCTCCCTCCCTCATCTTTCTTTCCTTTTCATCCACTCCTCCTTATTCACTATTTTCCTTCCTTGCCTCTTCCTTCCTTCCCCATATAAACATGGGCAAATATACTTAGACATAGGACTGTTATTAGATGGGTTACAGTGAAAACCTGCCCCACTCCAGCATCTGGATGGTTTTCACTCTTGTGACAAGTTACAACAGCCAATGTTTGGGTGGGCTATATTAGTCATTGTAACTAAACACACACACACACAACTTTTAGAGTCATGGAAGGTCCATCTCTCTTGCAGGCCAGCAGCCTACCTCACCGGGTTATTGTCGCTGCAGGGGAAAAAAGCTCAGTTTGGGGTGCCACAGTGAAGTCTACCTAGCAGGGCTGGGGTGTTTTGGAGCAGGGGGCTAATATGGGGGGAGGCTTCTGGCGATTACCCCCCTGCAATGAGCAGGGACAGCCCGGCTGGGGATGATGGGAGGGAGAGTCCACGCATGGGAAGCCCTGCCAAAGGGGAGGGGGCTTCTTGGCTCCCCCCCTCCCATCATCCCTAACGAGCTTTCCCGGTTGAATTTCCACCTGCCAGACCAATAGAGCCCCCTCCCCCCATTTCCCCAGTCAGGCGGGACCCCGTTTCCCAAGCAACGCCGCCTCCTGTCTCCATGGCAACCACGCCCCCCCCTCCTTCCTTACCGGCCTTGCCCTGCTTGCGGCCTGGGCCTGTGGTGAGGGTCCCCTGCGGCGGGGGTGGCGGAGGCGGCGGAGGAGGTGGCGGCGGCGGACCCGGAGCAGGCGGAGCGAGGCCTACTCCCCCCTCCAGCTTGTCGGGGTGCGGGGCCGCCATAAGAAGCGAGCGGGCAGGGAGGGGGAAGCGGCTACGAGGGGCCCTCAGGCCCAGGCCGCGCCATCGCGACGCGCGCCGGAAGGGGAAGCCGATAGAGAGGAGGGGAGGGGAAGAAAGCGGGCCCCGCGGGCAGCGCTTCCGGTGGCGGGCTTTCCCGCCCGGCTGTTCTGGGCGCCAAGCCTTCGTTCTCTATGGTCCGGGAGTAAAGGCGCCTTTCGGAAGGCGGACCGAAGGCCCGGGCGGCGCCGACGTCACTCCCGAGCGCCGTTTTTGTGTCCGATGGTGATGACGTTGCTGAACGGAGGCTCATGGCAGGAGTAAACAAACGCAGATTCGACCATTTTGAGTCTAGTGGGTTTTTTTTTTCTTTTCCTTTCTTCCCTTTCTTTTTTCTTCCTCCCTTCCTCCTTTTTTCCTTCCGTTTTTTCTTTCCTTCTTCTTTTCCTTTTTTTCCTCCTTCCTTTTTTCTTTTTCTCTCCTCCAACCATTCTTCCTTTTCTTCTCAACCCCCTTTCCCTTCTTTTTCTTCATTTTCTCCTTCCCTTTGCTTTTGTCTTTCCCTTTTCTTCTTTTCTTTCTTCTTCTTCTTCCCCTTCTCTTTTCTTCCCTGTGTATTTTCCTCCCTTCCTCATTTATTCCTTGCCTCCTCTTCCTTTCCTTTTGGTCCCTCCTTTCTATTCTCCTCCTCCTCCTTCCTCTTTCCTTCCTTTCCTCTCTTCCTTTTCTTTCCTTTCTTCCTTCTCTTTCCCCAAAGAGAAAAAAGGCATCCAGCAGCGACGAGCTAAAGAAATACCAACCTTTAATAATAACTATTTGATTTCCTTTGGTATAATCGAGAGAAAATCAAACCAATACAAACTTTGTATAAAGGAGATGGAGAGGAGGGGGCTGAGGTGGATTTGGGGGTCCCGCAGAGTGGCGGGGACAGGCACAGTGATAGAGAGTAAAGCCACACATTGGCTTCTGAGTATAACAATATACATGCAACACCAAATTATCAAACTTATGTACAGAACCTGGAGAACGGGGAAGAAAACCAGCCTCAGAGCTGGAAGACAAACCCATTTTTTTGTCTTTCTCTTTTCAGCTTTTTTAGGGGGGAAGCTCCAAAACCTTCAGTTTTGGGTTCTCTTCCCAAAATTCAGGGAAACCATCCCTTAATCCAGATTTGGGAGGGGGGGTCTCCATTGCTTAGCCTGGACTTTTGTGGGTGGGGAGAAAAGAAGGGGATAAATTGTGGGGAATCCATGATGGATCAGAAGGAGGCGGGTGAGAAATGACTGCCTGTTTCTCCATCCTCCTCAAAAAAACAGGCAGCGGCGC